TCATTAAAAAGGGTGCCACATTATCCGGGACGACAACAACCATTCACGTTCGAAGGACTACTTACATGGATGGCCAATCAAATCGGGCTGGCCTAGCTCCCAGAATATATGGCTCAACGGATAAGGGCCGAAGAAGATGCGCATCCTGACAAAGGGCATGCGATCTAGCACTTCGAATAATCAACTGCAAGCCCATTGAGAAGCGGCCTTCTCCGCGAAAACCCCTTTTGCAACTGGTGATCTAGAAGCTTTCGTGAAACAACAACCTGTGTGAGATGCCATGTAACTTGAATCATGGGAGCAGATCAGCCATTCATATCCATTCATCTCTTGCAGCTTAGGGGATACTTACTATTTGACGCGGCGAGGCTCCCTCCCACGCGTCGTGGTTTGGCCCAGGGCGTCGCTTTCGTGCCACTGCGGAAGTACTGAGCACAGCCTCAGCATTTCATTTTACCGTATGAGCAGTCCTCTTGCAGTTGATTTGTGTCTGCTGATGTCGAGCCCGGCTATCTCAGCCCGACGCAGGCATCATTCGACTCGTAGTAGTTCTTTGTATCAGAGTGGCCCCAAGACTTCCTTCAGTGCAGTCTGGGCATCAGGATCATCTTGGGACGTATCAGAATCTGGGTCGGTGCTTGTGAATCCCAATTCTGGAGGTCATGCGAACTAGTTTGAATGGAGACTCCAAGTTCCTGGAAGAAGCCACTTCTGCTTACGCCGTTCTGGCGCAATCAAGATTGTATTCCAATGGTTTAACCCAATCAAGCTAATAGGGCACAAGCTTCAGAGTGGCTTTGAAGAAGGCAAAGTTCATGAACCACAGGGAGACGCCCACCGCAGCTGTGTATAGATACACCTGCAAGGCAGTGCGCAACACGTTGCGTCAAGCAAGCTCAGCAGATGCCTTGCTATGCAGCACTGTTCAACATGGACAAAAATATTTATCAGCAGAGCACACCTGGAGATATTTACCTGAAGACATCCCATAGTCACAACATGCCTTGCCCTCCACGAGTTTGGCGATCCTAGCAGTGCAGGGTGGAAGCTCTTCGACCCAAGCCCGCATGGCCATCTCTCATCATTGCAATCGCAAACGAGAGTCGGTTGCACCGGAGCGAGCTTGGACTGCACGGACGGTGAGGGGTAGTTGGTAGCCACGTAAAGTAAGCGCTCAATGCTCCGGAAGTAGACCCTGCCAGATGTGCAACAGGCAATGCTAGAATGATGCTTTCGCTCAGCCCAAATCTTCCCTTTGCGACAATGTTGATTCAAGGTCTTCTGGTGTGCTGCAAGGTGCTATTAGGCCTGGCAAGGTTTCCGAATCCCAACCCATTGGCCCCCTGAGTTAAGCCGGAGCACAGTGCCACGGCTGTGCAGGTCATGATGAGAAGACCAACGCTCCGGAGAAGTTTCGCAGACCTCGGCCCAGCACCCACCAACACGGAAGTTGCAATCTGTGGTGTCTTGGCTTGACTAGCATACTTCTAAGCGGCCGCGCACAGTCACAATCATGAATTTCTCTCTGGGATTCTATCTTGTGGTCGAGGCGTGCAGCCTATGCCGCACCACTTAAGTAGGCTGAATAAACACAACAGAAAAACTGCTGCCAGCAAAGTAGAAATGGGGTGCAGTTTATCTTAGCATGCCGTTGTATTTCTCAAGCCAGTGCGCGCTATTTTTGAAATGCCAGTTGCAGATCATCGCAGGTTAATGGACAAACTGTCACTTCATGTTTTGGCGTGAGAGTTTCTAGACGCATCGGCTCTCTTACAAGAGCCTCAAGCGCGAATCTCATCAGCAAACCATAAAGGACAACCTGCGGACCTCAAAAGCACCAACGGCTTTGAAGTGTGGTCGCTTGCACATCTGCACGCAAAGCCCGCCGGGCAACTCAACCAAATTTCAGGGATCTGACAGTCCCGAACCCCAAACTTCTCTATCAAGTCTGTAGATGACTTGTCGATGGTTTGCAGGGCTGATAGAATCTGATTGAGGCGTCAAGTGCCCGTCTCACAATCTTGGGTTCGGGCTGAAGCCCCTCGTCCTTCAAACACACAGGATTTTTAAGTCTGAAGTGCTTGAGGATGGCGCTTGGCGGCCTGTGTTCTACACTGCCACCCAGCAGTTGACAGACTCAGTTGTCGACTATGACCTCACAGCAGCACAGACTGGCCGGCACAGCCAGCCACAACCTGTGGCGGAGGCATCCGGATGCGGCAAATGGCAGTACCTGCACGTGATCCCCAAAGCGCAGCTTCCTCCTTTCACGATGTAAATGCATGGGCGGAAGCACAGCTCGGGGTGACCAAGGGTGCCCCAGTTCGCTGGCACTCCAAGTGGAGCTATGTGCTCCAGTCCGGGCGGTGGCGAAAACATAGCCACAGCCGCGGCGAGGAATGCATTCGCAAAACCGTTCTCCGCCATGGCGCGGCTCGTGCTTGCCACCCTTCTGTCTTTAGAAGCGGGATCCTTTTGGAGGCTCCTGAGACCTGAGATCTCCTGAGAGCCCAACGGCAGCGTTGGGAGACGGAATGAGATGGAAGCTGAGCAACCCCGAAGACCTGAACAAGCGTAGCCTTTGTCATGGCGTATTCCTATGGACCCAGACCCGTGAAGTGTTCACAAAATGTTCTTAGCACGTGGCGACCATCACAGCCTGAGGATTGCGCTCAGAGCTTGGATTCAGCGGCCTCCTGGCGGAGTGGATGCTCTCTTTCCAAAGACACTATTTTCTGAACCTTCCAGGATTTCAATACCTTACAGTCATTGTAATTTCCGGCTGAGCTCAGAGTCACTCTTGCTTCAAGCGTTGGTCCTGAGAAGCACCATCAAACGTCCAGTCTTGCCCAGCACACAGACATTTGTCTCGACCTTGCGCTCACGAAGATTCTCATGCCCCCTCTCTGTGGCTTCCGATGTGCGCAGAGCAGTTGGTGGGCAACTTGGTAAAAACAAAAAACAAACTGTGGAAGCCTCGTTACTCGCTGTCAACGCCACTGGCAAGATTACTCATCCTCCCTCTTACTTACATCAAATATGCTACTGTTTGCTTGGGACGGCGCCGGCTCGGTTACCAGGAAGTGGTACAAGGAAAGGCTCATAGCTTGCGTCATCATCCACTTGAAGTTGCTCATGCCAGAAACTTCGGTGACCACCTGCACACCAGGAAGCACATGCATCGATGTTGTGCTAGAGTTGGAACTATCTCGACGTCAAGCCACCAGCTGCAAAACACCACCAAGACCTCGCGCAGATCTTGTGAACACGTTGCAATGTTTTGCAGACATTCAAAGAACTGAGGCCACTCTCATTGCCTAGTTCACCGCCAGCGAAGCCGCGACTAAACTTAGTCTTGATCCCAACCTTTTTCCGCTCTGAGGCTTGCACCATCCTGCTCCTTGTCTGTGAGATACTCATCCAGTTTCATCCGCTGCCTAGACTCCATGCTCTGCTTCGGTTTGCAGTTTGCAGCTCGTTTGCTTTCTTTCCACTCCCTCGTTTTTGTCGCATGACTCAGTTCCGACGAATTTGAAGCCGCCAGGGCGCTGGTTCTTCTCCTCTTGCATCCACTCATCACCTGGGCTTCGGCTTATTCAGGTTCAAGACGAGTCTGCTATGCTATGCATCACATGCAGCGTGCGTCAGTCAAGGCTTGCCCGCATGCGGCTGCCAATTATGCAGGCAGGATGCGCATCTCTTTCGACATCTCATCCGTCCGGACGCCTGGAAGTATCGCGTGAGCCGCAACAAGAATGGTGGCTTTTCTATCAGCGAGTTACATTCCCGAATACTCCCGACGGCGCCTGAGCCAGCACGCATCTTTTTAGCAGCAGCCTCCATGGATATGGCAGACGGAATTTGCTACAAGTGACTGTTTCCGACAATAACCTGGAGCATGGGCCTTGAGGGATTCCCAGCTAATCGCAAGACCCAGTCCGACAATGGGCAGCAGCAAAAGCCTCGATCCGGCTTTGAGAGGCCCCAAACGGCAACAGAAGTGTTAGGTTTTCTGGCATGCAGTACAGCAACTGACATGCCATGTGCGCTTACACCTTTGGCCAAGGTGCAAATAAAAGGCTTCCTTGCACGTAGCCTTCATCCACTTCTCTTGAGCACCAGGGTCCTCACCTAAGCCAAACACTCCTATCTCACGGATAATGCTTTATCACTTATCTGCTAGACACGCGCTGTCTCAGGTGCAGCTGGCAGACGCTTGGTGCTGTTATCGCTGAAGTTCTGATCCTCCTCGAGGTTCCTTATGGGGTAGCTGTCCGGGCTGTGAGAATGTAGGCAGCCAGCAGTGTTAGGCTTTGCCCATGAAGATAGGTAGACAGCTCGAGAGCCGAAAATTATGATCGCCTATCTTGATTCCGAGAATCATGGTTCCGAGCAAGGCCATCATGATCACAAGGGCCTGAGGCAAGCACATTTACTGCTATGTTCAAGTCTGCTTGGGTTTGCAACTTAGAATATACAAGAGCAATCTGCTGCTTATGTTCGTATGCCACCCGTGCCTTCTGCTCAGCATTTCTATACCTCAGTGTCGCAGGCGCGATGGGCTGAGGACCCGCCGGGCTACAAGCTTTCCAATGAAATGTTTATGGGTCCCGGGTGCAGCCCGAATCGGCCACCAAACAGGCC